TATATATATATATATATATATATATATATACATATTTCATTTTTCTAGCATAAAATTACACATAATGAAAATATAAAAAGTAAAGTAAACAAAAACAGGAATCCTTTTGTTCTAAAAATTTAAAAGTAAGAGTAATATTTAGGAGCATATGCAATAATACTTATTTAACTAAAAATTAATACAACTGGAGGGTGTTAATCAGTGTTTCATATGACACTTCAATTAGGTTCATTGTTTCTTATACCATGTGAGAATTATGTAATATACCAAAATTCATTCTGTCTATATTATGCACATGTCAAACATACTTATTATTTGTATGTGCATTATATACAGGATTATTACACATAAAATTTCATATTTAAAATGATTATATTTTAAAAACTTCTTATGCTAGGATAAAAGTTTCACAAAAAGTACACTAAGGATCATAAGTTTCATACAGTTTGGCTATAATAATCAGGATATTTAAAAACCAAATATTGTATATCTAAATTGCTTTTATCACAAATTAGCATTGATTTCTTTCTTTCTCCCTCTCTTTTATCCGAGGTGGTTGATTTCAATAAAATGCATGGCAGTGTACATGATGTATTTAAGATAGGCTTGGAATGCTAATCAAAATGATAGAAAGCATGTTTAACAACTTCTGCAGCAGTTTCTAAAACACTCTGCAACAAATTCAAATCTTTCTGAATAAAACATACAATTCTCAATGTGCTTCTGGTGCAATTTTATTCTTCTTATGATAAACAGTTTTTAAGAAATAATAATTTGATATATGGTGTTTTCTTTATAATCACCTGTAGGTTAAATAATGTATGAAGAAGTTAAATTTTTAAACAAAAAAGCAGTACATAATAATCACAAAACTTACATATTAATTATCTCTTATAATCTTCTGTCACTTGTTTCATACAAGTTACCTCAGTGTAAAATCTTCATCAGGATATTACTGAAAACTAATAAAATGTAAAAGATACTGAACTTACATCCATCTCCTAGATCAAGTCTATCTAGCTTCATTTCTAGTTCTTTTATACGAACATCCTTCTTCTGCATTTCCAGCCTGTATATTTCTTCCTTCTGTCGACTTTCTTCTAACTCCCTGAAATACAAATTCACATGTCAGAAATTATAAAGCTCAAGTAAATATTACAATAATATCAATAAAATATAATTACTGATACAAACAACTGGAGTCAAACTTCTTGGGTTAGCTTTTCAAAGTATTAAACTCACACTTAAATACATCAATGCATTAGTAATTTACACCAAACTTACACCAACAAACATATACAATACATGTTGTACCTCCTTTAAACTCTCTCAGATAATCTTAACATATTAAAACTTAATCACAAAAACATTAACAATACATGCAGTAGTTTCTTCAAACTCTCTTACATAAACTTTACAATGTACTGAACTTACATCATGTAAGAGTCAATACAAGTATTACACGTATGTAAACTTTTCAAAGTATTCTCATCAACCTCTACACAAATATTAATATATACATTAGCTAAAGCAAATTTTCTCAATTAATTTCTTAGAAATCATTAACTTCGAAGCTTGAATATCTGAGTGTATTAATCATATTACATTTTACTTAGAAACAGGAAACTATTACTTTCTCTTAATTGTGACTAAGCTTTCAAATAGTTATCAATAAAACAATCGTGATTTGTTCTTTGTACAAAGTTAAAAAGAAAAACATAGATCAACTTAATAGGGTGCACTGAGAAGTTCCAACAATAAAGTCTTTAGTTTTTGTAAAATTGACTAATATAGTTAAAATATTAAATCTTATATAGCCTTGACAGCATGAATAAGGAAGATGGAATGGACAATCATTCAATAATTGTTATGTGCAAGAAAATGTATACACATTTTTTATTGTCTTATGCAAATAAATAAAAATGTATACAAATTAGAAGCACATAATCATTTTGAAATACCTTATATTTAATATTTGCTTTAAAATATAACTTATGAATACATTTTTTGATATATTACCATTAAAGACCATTATCAATTTTTCTTAAGAAATACACCACATAAGTTGAAATTTACATTAAACAACTCCATGCCATATATCCACTTACTTTTGTTGTGCCATGTAGTCTCCTCGGACACGGCTCAGCTCTTGGCTAATTGCTTGCTTGGCTTGGATCTCACTGTGGAGATTAGATTGTAGGTTCAAGATCTCCATTTTTTCCATTTTCTGTGACCTGCGGTTTTTCCAGTTCTTTTCCTAGATAAACAATTTATATAGTAAACAAGCAATATGTTGTAAATTAAAAGTTTTTGGACTTTTTTCTCATGTGTGGGTAATTGCTTCTACTGAACATTTACACCTGTCTAACCAAGGCTTTGTAAAGGAGTCCAAAGCTTTCTTCAAATAAATATTGGAAACAAAATCCAAAAGTTTGATTAATGTATAGTTTTAATAAATAGCCTACAATTATAAATTACATACATTTTATTTTTATTAGTCTGTCCCCCCTCCTCTCCATTCAGAATAATATTTTGATCTTCATTCAAAAGAAAACTAACAAGAGGAAGTCTATTATAAAGTTCATTGCTAATTTCAGCCATATTTAAGTCTACGAAAAGCTACAGAAACTTCATTAATAGTTTAGTATTCAAGAAACATCTACCTACATATTTTGGAATAAACAAATAATAACTTTCCATTTTATCAAAAACTTGTTATTAGAGAGTAACAATCCTCAAACCAAAGTATATCATTGTTTTGAAGAGCTCATAATATTTGAAAAAAAAAGAAAAAAGCATATACAATTTATCTTGGGTTAAAATAGACCAAATAATTAAAAATAGCTTTACTATACAAGCAGCATTCTTTCATGTGTAATGACATTTTGAAATTTTTAATGAATTACATACGCAAAAGATTTCAATAAATACACAGTTTCAATTATTAGTCCCATCCACTGATGATTACAACAAAAATTACTTAAACACACACACAACAAGAAATTATTTCTAATAACAATGAACATGCTGCATTGAAACTTCTTTCAAAAAGAATTTAAGATTAAATTAAAAGTAACAAACACTAGATGAGAGTCAATAACATTTCTATTCCACAAGACATTTTACAATGGTCAAAGTTCTGAGATATGTATCCTTTAACAAGAGTTTTAACCTTAGGGTAAAGATAGCACACTTGCACAAGCAGACACAAGATTTTCTGTAATCTTTGACATCAACATCATTTACAAACATAACTTACAACAGTGCCTGTTGGAGTTGGAGGAACACCTGTGGTTTTCAGGTATTCTAGTTCTTCACTCATTTTGTTAGCCAATGTTTGTAAGTAGCCCCTGGCATCCTTCTCATCTTTCACCCTGAATAAATACAAATATTTTGATATCTCATAAAGTTTATAATATCTGTTACTCACGCTCATTCTAAAAAAAAAAAAAATGGAAATGTTGAAGTAAAATTGCTGTTTTTAAATCACTGGTGCAAGTTTTCATTAAACAAACAGAGACCTACAAAACATTTGCTGTCAAATTAGTATATTCATTGCAACAGTACTTCTTTAAATACAGGACTGCTAGAAAAATATAAAAGAATTCTAATTGCAGACACTAAAATTTATAAATCCATTTTTATTACGCCTTTATTAAGTACAGCCTATATTCAATAGAGAAATAAATTAACACTATAACTTGTGTATGTTTTTTGCTTTAGTTTAATTAGGACTAAATTTTACAGAACTTAATACTATCAATAAATAAGCTTAATGTTATTCTATGATCTAACATTAGACCTTTTTATAAACTTTGATAAGCTTTTAATATACTGTTGTACGAAATATCTACTAAAGTATATTTACATCTGTTGAAATGAAGTGCACATGCATGTGTATATAAATAGTAAGGTGCATGTGCATTTGTCAGGACAGACAAAACTGAATATTATTACAATACATTTATCAATGATAAATAATTAGATATTTAACAATGATGCATTAAACCTGCTACATTACACTTTATAACATTAATGATAATTAAATTGCTATCACTAGAAAATCAAAATCAGGAAAATATATATTACTTAAACTTCTCACTTTAGATAAGACACATTGAAGCAATATGACTGAATCATCAAACTTACACATACTATATATGAAAAAAAAGTATAAAATATGAAAAATATTCATACCAAGAAACAAGTTACATATTACAGAAGTTTCAATGTAACATAATCACTTTCATTAAAATGCAGTTTACAGTTAATAACTTACCATGATAAAATCTAAAATAAGCAAAAATAACTTGTTAGAAAAACAAAAGTTACTTAGTTTTCTCTTATCATTAAAACTGCATTTTGTTCACAAAAAAATGTTTCCTCTTAGATCAGCATGTCACTGAGTTAGAATTAAAAATGTCATGCTCCTAGTATAAAAATTGACTACAATCACTAAATCCCAAAACATGATCTACACAAAATAATTATGAACAGTTAATAACCAATAAATAATTAATCATGTTTTATCCTTTAAGCAAACCTTGTTAATAAATAACAAGTAAATCACATATATATTAATAAAATTATAAATAAATAAGAGAATATGGCATTCAAAGCTAAGCAGAATATGTAAATGTTTTAAATGTCCAATATGTTCTAAGCCACAACAAAATATACAAGTAGCTACATAATATTTAAAGAAACAGGAGCAAATTTTATGGAAATATTGCTCATTCCAGGTATAATGGGTAACATTCATGGTTCATACACTTTTAATTAGATGAAATTCCATAATTTTTCCAAAACTTTTTTAAGAACTTTGGCAAACTTCCAGGGCCAGACAAAAAATAATTGACAGACTGTATATTAAAATAACTAATATAAATGTTTCCTCCTTTCTAGATTTTCTTGCTTACAAATAGAATAACAGTACAGTAATATAAATAACCGAATCATAAGATCATGACATGCTTACAAGCACTGAGCAGCAACCTAATTTTAGAATATCATTGCCATGACAATGGATTTTAAAGATGAAGGGCTTGGGAAATCAGCTTTTAATTTTCTTGAGAATTACGCTTAGTCAAAAAGCTAGTTAAGTTGAAATTTGCATCATTGTTATACATGTCAAATTCATGAAATTCACATAAAGGCTTACTTGCCAAGTTAGAAAAGTATAATAATAATAGTATATAAAAAAAAAAGCAAGCTCTGGCCAATTTTTTACTTGCAGTGGGCATCTCCAGCACAGTATTTTTTGAGTACTCTATCTAGCAAAAATAAAATTCAAACCTGTATTCTTATTATTCTTGAAGCAAGAGAGTTTCCATTTATTCAAAGTTCTTTATTCTCAAATTTGTCTGATTTAGAACAAACCCAGAATATTTGCACTGTTAATATCTATTCTCTAACTTTTATAATTTTCATGTTTCATGATGGAGAAAGTTTCAGTTAATGTATGCTTTCATATTGCTAATTTAGTATAAAACAAGTTTGTGATACTAAAGAGAATGAAATGAACATTCTATGTCAAATCTAAAACAAAAAGAAATAAAAAAAACAAAAAAAAACAGAAATAGTAATTAAACAACAGTCACGGTTTTTCACACTAAATTGAGTTGTCTTCAGCCTCAATTTATTTACAACTGTGACCATCAATGTGATTGGGATTACTTCTGCTTGAAACATTAATAAGTTTCATATGATGCTCTTTGCAAACGTTTTGATGAGAGACGATATTTACATCATTATCAAGACAGAATACGCAATCAATGAATAAAATACACTGAAAAATAAAACAAATATGTATTATTTCAATAATAATGTGGTTAAAACTATTTTCCCATGACATTTCAAAGCTAAGAAATATTGATCAGGTTTACTACACCTTTCAGACCTAGATTTATAATTATGCATTTTCAATGACTTTCCATGTTTTCAAGCACACGTGGAACCCCGTGTTTGAAAATGCTTCCTTGCCATTTCACATATTCACCTAGAGTAACTGACTGTTATAGAGGTAACATTAGGTGCTGACAAATAGGGAGATGTAATGCAATTCTTAAAGGATTTAATCACTTCATTAGGCTTCCACTCATACCTTGAGATCAGACTACTTATATATCATTAAACATACTCATATATAAACATACCATTGGACAATCTCATTAATCTGAGCTTCCCACTGGGCTATTGCATCTTTCTTTTCCTTTAATTCAGCAAATTCAGCTTCTAGATTTTTCTTTGATTCTTGTTCTTTTCTTATAGTTTTTGTTAACTACAAATATACAAAATTTTTTGTTTAAGAAACACCAAAACTGTAAATGTATAGAATAATAAGTTTATTCTTTTCTTTCAGTGTTCAAAGTTTTAAACAATTTCACTCCCACCTGAGATAAATAACTGCATCTTTATTATATTGTTTTAAAAATAATTTTGAAATATATCTCAAAATCTACACTGCAGAAAGTGTTATTACCTGGTGAATCTCATCTTCCACTGACTACATTTTATACAGGCTATAAATTTGTTGTTTTCATTAAATCAGAAAGTTATTGAATCGTTCAGTGCAAAAAACAGGAAGTGACCATAAATACAAATAAGCAAAAGATACACAAAGGACATGTATTACATCTTTAAATTTTACGTTTTGTGAATGAATGTGTAAAATGTATGATAAGCCAAAAAGAAAAAGTTAAAGACCACAGAATACATATACACACACACACACATACATGTATATAAATCCACATCCAGTTTTTAACTATGGCACAAGTTTTCTTTCTGTTTTCTGACATTAATGTCAAATAAGAAATTTACACATAAATCTTTCTAGCGGGTGCCAGTGACACCTACACGAGAGAAACAAAAGTAAAAATTATCTTCTATCAAAACTTTTAATGGTGGTAAAAAATCTGAACCCTAAAATTTGTTTTCTGTAATCTCAGTATGCTTAGTGCTTAAGTTAATAAAATTAGGCTAAATAAATAATATGCATGTTTAAATAGAAATGTACAGTAAACACTGGCATTAAGTACAACATTGACATTGATGCACAATGATGACAAGAGAAAAAATTATCTCAATAAACTTTTGGGTTTGGACTGATCATAAATAGCATATATGAGATGTACAAAATTATACATTATCTAAATGTATTTTTTCATACTAAAAACACATACTATCTCTCTTTCTTGTGTTAGCTTCTTATTCTCTTCCTGAAGAATTAACTTTTCATGTTCAAAAGATTGTTTCATGTCATTTATTATCTCCTGGATTTCTACAGCACTGGAAAGAACAAATTAAAGAAAACTGATACTCTTAACAATTGACGTGGAGTGCGATTAACATTCCATCACAATAGAAAAACTAACAAATATAATCAAGAGATAAAGAAGCAGAAATATTCAATAATACTTTTGATATTGAACCTTGCAAAATACTGTCACAAAATGTTCAATTGTTTCCTTGATTAGTCATTATTATAAATCTATTTACAAAATAAACTAAATATAAATAATATTAAAACTTTAAAAAATCATACATATATCTACTGGTACATTGCAATGTACCATGTGCAGCTTTTATTCAAAGACATATCTATCAAATTTATTGAAAACTGTTTATATTCACCTTTTATTTGTTTTTGCATGTAAGACAAACATGACCAAATCAAACAACACAATACTACAGACACTAAGTTTTGGAATGAACTAAAAATAACTATGGAACAATATTATGGACTCTGAGTATTAAATGTAACAGCATAAGACAGATTTCACTTCTTACCCAGTACTTTTTGTTTTCCTATTGTAAAAATGAGGTGCTCCATGTAGTACAGTTAGGGACATTACACAAAATTCAAATTCTTCAATTTTGAACTCAAACTTTGGTTGTTGTAATAAAGATATGAGTAAACATTTGTTTATGCAACTTCATAACAATAAAACAAAATGAATAAATATGAAATCAAATAGAGTAAAATCTAAAAAACTTTTACCTTTCTGATCTGGCCTGCTCTATTTTCTCTTTCAGTGTTAGAATCTGTAATTTAAAAATTTCTGTTCCAACATTCTGAATTACTTAGCATCCTAAAAACATAATGAATTACTTAACATTCTAGTGTTGTACTTTTATATAGAATATTGAATTCTATTTATTCCAATAATTTGTATTAAACTACTTATGCCTGTGAGCATAAACCAAAATTTAACATTACCTGACTTTTTTTGTATAAAAAACTTGTAATGTTTACTAAAAATCTTGCAACTTTTGAGAAGACACACTAGCTACATTAAAAGTTATAGTATGGATACTTTCACGGTTACTCGAAAGTTGCAAGGACATTCAAGGTGACCGAACCCATATCGACAGTTAAACACAATTCCAATTCATGTAAATAGGTTAACAACTTAATGGTATTGCATACTGCTAAACTGTTTTAAGTCCATATCTAGTAGCTTCTGACAAACGTAGTTAATTGAGCAAGTTATTCAGCAAACAAGTTGTTTTGAGCAAATAAAAGAATAATGAATATCAACTCGCTGTAACTATTTTTAATAAAGCAATCTTACCCTAAGTAACTTGTAATAAATAAGCAATATATTAACTTAAAGATACACTATTATTTAGACATACAAGAACAACAGGCATCACTATGGTTAGCTGTGTAGCCAACAGCTACCATGCTGTCACATATGAATATGAGGTGTGTACAAATAGAATGCATGAATACCATTGGGCACAATCATGCCAATGAATGTAGTAATATCTAATATTTCAATTATTTAGAAAGTTGGAACAACCAAAATAATAATAATCTGAAACACTAATTTTAAAATTATTAGTTTATTAGTTTTATGACATGTAATTGATGCTCATGGGTAACCAATTACATTTATTAATCAAGTTAATCACCCAGCACTATTGTAAGCAGTATGTGAATTTTTGTTGAGAAGATACTATGGTCTGTTGGTTGGTTTTCTGTACAGTATAGACCATCTGACAGAGGAATTACAAAATATAAACTTATCAGTTTTTTTTAAAGGAGAAATTTCAAGTCACTGAATATTGGACTTCCAAATAAAAGAAATCTCATCAATGTAACATTTTCAATTGTGAAATTCCTACAGTGCTTTTCTGTAATAATGAGCTTATTAGCAAAGTTAGAAACTATTTTAGTATTCAAGGCAGTATTGTTAGACTGAATGTAATGTTTGTTGCTAAACTAACAGTTATTTAAATATAACGGAAGTTAAATAACTTTTCTGAGATCACAATGGATAAAACAGATTTAGAATGGTAATAATGACAAATATTATTACTAATAAGTAAACCAAGATCTTTGTAAGATGTTTGATACTTATCTAAACTGTAAGAATGACTTTCAGTAAAAAAATGAAGTGTAATAAAACAAGATGGTCCAAAAGTTATTTGCCCCAAAGCAGTATATCAATTACTAACAGAAATGCCATCCTACGGGCACTGTTCATTCAGGATCTTGCTGAGCTGAATGGTGTGCTCTTCTGTCATGAAATTGCTCCTGACTTCTTTTAACTGCATCTTGGCGAGTAATTTGAAGTGATTCTGTATTTTGGGTTCATTCCTAGTTTTTCTCACTGGATCTTGATACAACTTGTTGAGCAAGCCTATCTCTTTCTTTCTATAACTTGCATCCTGATGTTTCATTTTCTTTCTCAAAGTTTCAGATTTTCTCAATAATAAGTCACATTTTTGATCACTTTACACACACATTGAAGTAAAACAATTTTTGTTTAACTTACAAAGATTGAGTTACTACAAAATTCCTGACAATTTGTGTGCAACGAACTCCGTACGAAGGACTTGTGATTCCTTTGGTCACAGAACAATTCAATTCACATCGTATGCTTGGATTCTCCAGCAGAAAAATTCACTTTTCTTCAGAAATATCACAATGATTCTCCACTAGGAAGTCTCACTTTGAAATTTTGCACTAAATGCACTTTACCACTATTTTAGAAGTTTTATTATAAATTAATTTTGTTGTTAATAATATATGTACATTATTAAAAAGGAAAGAAGTACCATTTCTCCATCAAAGAAGTGATTTAGGAAAAAATGTTATAAAATATAAGGTCCTATTAATTTTTAAATTTTAGCAGGGGTCTATTTTATAACTGTTTATTTTGGCACGATTTAAAGCTGTAATTGACTCTTTAAAAAAAAAAGTACACATGCACTGAATAATTTTTTTTATTATTATTATATATATAAGAGACCAAATTGTAATGAAACTTTGTTAGGAACTTCCCCTTATATTATAAAATCATGCAAAGTTTCATCCAACTCGGACTTAAACTGTGGGAGAAGTTTCGCAGATAGACATACATTAGCCTCTTATCTACATAATTTTTAATTTTCATTTACTTCAGGTTAATGTACAAACATATGTGAAAAGCAAATAAACTTAGCACACAAACTGGGAAAAGGCCAATGGGTTTTTGTCCTAAAAATCTAATGTGATCCAAACAAATAAGCCTTATTTTTGGAACAACTAATTTTCCCTGAAGACAAGGGTGAGGTTAATATTTTCAGAAGTATATTAGTACATATAGCTGGACTGGATGTATTTCATATTTTGTGAAAGCTACATTTTTGTTAAGACTGAAATATTTTATGAGAAAAAAAAAGAGTTTGTTTATTCTCTGAAAATATGATGACCCATACGAACTTGATTACTTTTTCTGTTTGTTTTTGTGGAAAACTCAAATACCAATTAATAAGCTATTTTTTGATATCACTGTTTAAGAAAACATTCAATATTGCACAAAACATTCTCAAATTGTTGTTACTGAATGTCTGAAGAAAAACAATAATAGAATGTAAACACTTAAGTTATACAACTCAAGTACCTTCCATACCTCTTTTTGTAAAGATATATTTGTGGTCTCAGTTTCTTGCAATAAATCCTTCATATTACTTATATCAGCCTTAAACCTTGCCTGCTTCTGACTCAGTACTTCTTCATGTTGTTGCTTCATTGTTTGTAACTCTGCTTTCAACCTGAGGATCATAAAACATCTTTTTATAAGAGTTGCTGTTTCAAAGACTGTATTATTAAATTAATTTTATTGTTTGTTTGTATTTTAGCACACAGCTTCACATTGTGCTATTTGCACTCTTATCCATCACATAGATTCAAATCCTAGATTTTAGCTTTGTTACTTCATAAACTTACCATTGACCCAATTGGTAAAACAAAATACACAGCTTAGCAAACTAATGAATGAATATTTGCTGTAAAATTCTTATCATTGCTATAAGTGTAGCTACCAATTGACCACCAATTTTGTTTTCATTCCTTTAAGTTGCACGCTGAATCCTTTTCGGGCCGCACCTTTTTTTCACTTCACACCTTATACACACCAGATAAGAAAGTAATACTCGACACTAACCAACATTAACCTTAGTATTGCAATCCCATTATTCAGAACAGACATATACAGAACCAACCAGATTCTTTAAAATATATGTTGGTAGTTTATACTTTCTAAAACATTGTTAATAGCTTCCTCTATACTAACGACATGGAATTTAGATTAGCAGTTTCTTGTCATCACCCCCAAGCAATCAGTACAGTCGTATCAAGCATCATTATTTATGCTAATTGCTTAAGCTAATATCATGTGTTGCTAAACCTTATTTAATTAGGTTAATTTCATAAAATTTAGTAAATTTGTGCTGAAAAGTTGGCAATGAATAATCAATAATAACCATCCACCCGTATGATTCTTTTTAAAACTTGAGCTAGAAATTTCTAATCTAGTTTGCTTGGTCTAACCAATACTATGTATCTGCACATTCTTTCACCATATAGTTTTGCTGCTCTAAATCAGCCGATTTTAAGCTGAGTGATAAAAAAACTAAAAATTGTCCACTTCTACTCTTAGGTGAAGCTGTAATAAAAATGTTAGACAGATAGCTCCCATGACTTTTGTTTTTGTTGAATAACTTTGCACATGTGTCTTATATTTACACCAAATGAGTCTCTAATTGTAGGTTATAAAGATCTATCAGTGTACCAAATTTGAAAAAAATCCATAAAAGTTAAGTATGTTTTTCTATGATGTACTTTGGTGCAAAGAAAAAAAAAGTAAAGAAACTCAATTAAAATTGGAGATGTTATATCTCAAGTATTTCTGAATGGACTGCCTTAAAATCTGCTATGTGAAGTAAGAGTCCAGTAGAACACATCCACTGAAAATATATGATAGTTTGGAATACCACAGTCTGAGCTACAGAAGGTATGAATAGAGAAAAAATATACTTGTATCTTATAACTTTTTAAAACATGTAACACTCACTGTTTCTTAAGAAGTATAGATCTTTTTTCTTTTCAGTCTTTCAAGATGCATGAAAAAATAACACTATATTCATGTTTTTTTTTTATGATATAAATAATGACTAGATCCTTAACTTAGATTTTACAACCACTAGCCAACTCATAAAAGGCTTGATTTTTTTATTTTTTGGAGATATGTAGTCTAACTACTACCCAACATGAACTTATTTTTTGCCATTTCAAGCCTGTTCATACATTTGTTTTAGGTCTTTTACAATTCATCATATTCAAATTGTTGAAAGAAGTAATTTAGAGCATTTCTCTGCTGTTTGTTGAGATTGTGTATTCCTGATGAGCTCTACACAAACAGTTGAATTACGATAGTTGTTTAGACCGTATTTCTGGACTTCATTGCCATTTGTTATCAAAATTAGTGTGAATTTTTTTGTGAATCACTAAGTAGAAAATTAAAAACATAATTGTGATTAAACAATATAAACTATTGTTGTTTCTATCTGTATACTTTTATATTTTATGTAATTTTTTTACAAGTTCTAGGGCAATTTATGTAAAAAATGGGTCTTTAAAAGTGTGTATATGGATATCAAATTTTCCTGTTTATAAAAAGTGCCTAACCTTAACAAAATTTCAAAACCTATTACTGTTGGTTTCTTTACAGTATAAACTTTAAACAATCAACTATATTCTACAAATTTTACTGAATATTTGCTAAATAATTTCACTTGTTCAAGGTGAATAACTGGTATGGAAAAAATTACATTAAACTCAATTTAAACCTGTCACTAAAGTTTAAAGTTCATTAAGACATATTTTGCATATAATATTTTCAACTATAATGCTTATACTTTCAAATCGTACTGTGAGTGATTAATTTACACCTACTTTACTAAATATAATTCACTTATTGAATTGATTTAATTAATGTATACAGTATTTTTAAATAGAATGTATTGGGTTGGTGTTTCTAACAAGAAAGTTTAGCAGTCTTTAACACTTGACTCTTTTAGTACCAGAGAAATTAACTTAATTATTATATACAGAAAACAAAACTGAGTACTAATTTTCTCTAAAATTCATTGGTTTTACTGTCTTTTTGTTTAAAAGGTTTACACCCTTATATTTGCCTACCTTCATCCAGAGTATTCAATTCAATGAAGGTTTATAAAAAATAATCCATTATGTGATCAAACTTCACAAAGGTTAAGCTTTATTATTTTGAGTACAAACAAGATGTAAAGGAAAGATATTGATGTACCATTACAATGGCTAAAAAAAGGTATGATAACATATGAATATGACCAAGCACCAACTGTAAACAATTCTCTCACAGTTACGTTAAATACTTATATCCTACACTTCCATCAATATTTTGAAAACTAAATTTTACTATCATTAAGCTACTGAAACTGAGTATTAAAAAAACGACAACTGCTATTCTCATCTATCAAAAAAATCACATACTATTCATACGTCAAGACCATGAGACACTACGCTACATGTAGCTCATGGAAAAGGTCAAGTTAAGTGTTGTTTCAAATTGGCAGAAGATCAAATATATCATCTTTAAAGTTTTTCAAAGATATTACAACAGCTATTTGATGCAAAACATTAGGAAAAAACTGTACTAAACATCCAGTACATGCAAGCTACATGGACAAAATCTAAGAAGTTAACAACAATTGACAAAAATAATTCTTTAAAACTGCAATAAGCTATTGAAAAAAGGATTCCGTATATTACTCATACAAATTACAGTACTTCAATTTCTGGATTTTTCAAGATAGAATCAATGCACAGAATATTTTATAAAGTATAAGTAACATGGATTTAACTGCTGTCTAATTAGATAGTTTTAGTATCAGTGCTAATATCACATTTCCAATTATTAATCAAACATAACTCTCATTGGAAATAGCTCTTACTTACAATTTTGATAAAAACAAAACATTCTATTTAACAGCCAAATAAAAGATGAAACTGTGATAAGAAGTGGCTAAGTTTATCTATACTTGATATAAACAAATATGTCCTAATTTATTTTATCTCTTCCAATTGCCTTATAAACATAGATTTAAGAGTTCACATTAAGATGTGACATATTTTGAATATACTAATAACATTCTAGCTATTATAAATTATGTTAAATATTCAAATTGGATGATGAGGAACCCACTTTGAGACTAATAATGCTTGGAGACGGCTTGAATGGGTAATGAAGAAA